AGAAAAAGCATAATAACAATTGAATAATTTTGAATGTGCATAAGAAAAAGCAAAGGAAGCAAAATTTACTGGATTTTTACAAGACCTCTCTCTGCCAGTGTATAGAGGGACTATGCCTAATATGACCTTCAACAACTTTATTTTAATTTTTCCCCCCAAAAGGATTTATTATAACTAAGTTCAGAGCTTGACAATCATTAATTCAGAATACAGCTATCTTGCAAATCTCTGTTGCTCACAAGGCAGTGGCCGAGTTCAAAGGCTAAACCAAACTTTAATTACATTGAGAATCTTGCCAGGAAAGTTAAAGGAAAGGATCTTTTTAGTGAGGTTATCTATGCCTCTAATTTGTACACTGCACAAAATGAAGCCATAGTATTCTCATGTTTCAGGGCTATATGCAAGAATATCTTCTTTATCGATGTAGCATCTGGTTTTCTTGTAAATACTGTAAATCTTGTAAAGTTTCTAAATTGGAATGAAAACTTTACTGTGTGTGTACTGAGGTAAGAGATGCAGTGATTGTATAGATGTACCTTATGCTGAATATTTGTCAGAAATCTTTAGACAGGTCTAGTTGGGCAAATTAATATCTTGTTGAGAAGATTAACAGTAGTGAAGTAAAAAGGATGATGTAGTCAATGATGTAAAAGCAGTAGATGAAGAGGAGTTATAGTTCTTTACCACAGTCCTTTATCCTGTAATTTTTTTTTTTTTTGTGGTCTTGAGCTCACCAATGATCGGATGAGACCATGACAGCTGGCACCAGTACTGCATAAAGAGCAAATCCTAGCAGTAGTTAGCCTATGCTAGAGAACATTTAGCGAGAGAGGGGAGGAGACCTTAAAAGCATTGATAAGAAGGTAAATATTAACATCTGTGAGTGATTAAGTATACTTTTTGCTGAATAGACCAAGAGAGTACTTTTGTGTTTTCGTGTGCCAACAATATATTTATTTCTAATCTTGTGTTCTCTCTGCGTGATGCAATATTGATAAGGATCTTACTGAAGAGGTTGTTAATTCTGCATGTGTTACTTTAGTATATTTTTTCAAAGTAGCTTGCCATATGTGCAGTGATGTGGAAATAAATCATTAAATCCTATGGGAATGGTTACATTGTCAGTTATATCTTCAGAGTTTAGCTGTTCAGAACTTGCAGTTAGGCAACAAAAAAATACAGGTCTCTAGAAAGTATTTTCCAAGCGTAGTAAACTTGAAGATTGATTCAAACTTTCACATCTGGGCAGGTGGAAGGAAAAGGACAAATGTTAACTTGAGAACAGCTGTTTTGAACTTGGTTGTTGCTATGTCAGCTGGAGAGACAGAATGCTATTTGTTAATAGCACAGGATAGAAATATTTTCATAAGGCGAAAATGCAGCCATAAGAAGATGGTGGAGTTGTATTACCTGAATCCTTTTCCTGGAGAGTGCCGAGGGTGGCTGAAGCAGTGCTTCAGTATGTGCTGTGCTCTGAAAAACACTTGGAAGCAGGGGGACTTCGACATGCTTGGGTGTGCTTTGACTGCTGCATTTCTGTCTGCATAACCCTAATGCTACTTAAGAAAAAAAAAAATAATTCAGCATCGGTATGAAATGTATATACATATGAAAATAATGTCAGAGGACATTAGAGGAATCATAGAGTTTTTTTATTTTCCTGTGTTTTTTAGGTTGTCTTCTTGGCCCTGCTTGTGATCCTCTGTAATATGTTCCTTCTGCCCAGATGTTCTTTTTTGCCTTGTCTGATGTTAGGCATGTTTTTTAGGATTTGTTTTATTACAGCAGTACTTTGAAAGATGTGCTGATTTATATGAGGTGTGGGTTATATGGGTGAAAACACAATTTATTAAAATTAATTTTTTTTTTGTTATTTTAACTCATGCATCTGGATTAAACTTCACTCAGTGTGAGAAGTATCTGGTGTTGGTAATTCTAATTAACAGTTTCATGTCGTAGCATCCAGATGTATACAAATTATTTTGTCTCTTGGGGATTTAAAACATTGTAAATTCTGGAAGAGATGATCTCTGTGCTGTGCCTGTCTTAAAAGATTCCTTGGTAGATGCCATAATGCTTTTCCATGATCATTAAACCTTGAGTAAAGGGTTATTATTAGTATTCTAGGGATGCTTACGTCCTGCAAATGCAGGGTTAGTTAGGAGAAACAAAACTCAAAACCTTAGCTTATTGGGCCAATGCTTTCTGTATAAGCTGCTACTTCTAGGCACACTTCTAGCGTGAATTCTTTTTACCTAACATTGAATTGCTTGGTGAAGAAAAAAAACCTGCCTTAGGCTGTCTTTAGTGAGGTTCTGCCAGTGATTTAAAGATTTTCCGAAAGACCTTTCTCTTATAATCCTGTAGAAAGCACCATGCCTACAGGAACACTTGTGCTGTCATTAACAAGAGTTGTAGAAACTGGAGAATCTGTTAATTATTTTTCTGTTTGAAGACAACTGTTTTATTGAACCATATCCTCGAACAAAAGCAGTGCATCTCGGAAACAGGCATTTTTCTTACTTTTGAGGAAGTGTGTAAACTTTTTTGAGAAACTGCCAGGTTTATTGTATTAGCTTGAAACAAAGATCAGCTGTGTAATTTGGAGTAGTAACTGAATTTGCAAAGTCCTCCTAGATAATTGAGGGATATTTTTCTCCAGTGTGCATGTATTTGTTCTTCGTTTCAGAAAATTTGGTACACTCGTAGATACACTCCTGCTGACTCCTAGGAATAAGTGGCCTGTGGTGGTGGAGATGTGACTATGCCCAGGATTTCATGAAGTCAAATCTAATTAATTTAGATAATCCTGAATCTTCAGTCCCTTTAGGCTGAAAACAAAACTGTAGTGAGTTGTAAGATCATTGTAGTTAGTCAGTGGATAGTCACGATCCTTGTTGGGGGGAGAACCCTCAAAAAGTTGAGGGAAAGGATGTCAGTTGGGTTTAAAATGCTATGTAGGTTTTTCTGCAAATATTTACTTTCATTTGAGAAGTAATTAGGTGGCACAGCCCTTAGATGATGTTTTGATGGGTTCGATTAGCTGCTGACACAGATAAAGGGACTGAGTCATGAATCTTTCTAATCCGTTAAAATATGCATTTTGTACAAGAGCAAAGAAGCTCTAATAATGTTGTTGATGTCTTTGAAATCTAACATAAAAACGTGTCTTTTCAATCTTTTTGAAATTGCAGCTTTCATACAGTAGGCAAGAAGTAGAATAATTTGTCAGGATAACTCCTGAACTTTTTTGTAATAGCTTTCACAAGATGTTATAAAGAAACCAATATTAAAATATCTAGATGAAATAATCCATGTAATTAATGGTAATTAATGCTTCGGTAATTAATGGTAATTAATGCTTTGCTCTGTTTAATAAAAAAGTATATTGAATAACTGAGCCCTAATTTGGTTGATTTTTGTAGTAAAACGTTGTTTTTCAAATTACATAGTAGATCATGTATGGTAATGCATTTTTTACTTCTCAGTTGTAAAATTTAAGATGCATTTGGCTTATATTAGGTAAATTTGACACTTTAAATTGCTCAGCTGTTAAGGGTGTCTTCAGGGTTCACTATCAACAGCCTAAAAAAAGAGAAGAAAAAAAGAAAGCAACCCCTGCATAAAAACAACACCCCAAACCCAAATTATTATATATGTTATAGTAAAAAGGGTCAGTCTTGCTTCTCAGGTGTGTAGGCTTCTATGATTTAGTTTCTTTACCTTAATTGAATTTCAGATTTATGTAGAAGTAGTGGCCTGATAGGTTTTTAATCCACGTGCATTTCTATTTAAAAAAAACCAGACAAATAAACTGATTGTGATGCCACAGAATATACTTCATGTGTACAAATTCTGTTCAAGGGTAGAGATGCTGTATACTTGTGTTAAAAGCCTAGTTATACTCTTCTTCTAACCAGAAACTTGATAGTTATCACTGAGCCTTTGTCTTTCCATCATCTTTCCCATCAAAACTGTGATAGCAAAATGCCTTAATATACGATACCAAATTACGAATGCTTCATCCAAAAAATGAAGCGCACATTTTGAAATGCTAATAGTGAAATTCTTATTTGGCATTGTTGGAAAAGCTCCCATTGCTGCCTTAACCTTTCAAACGAGCCCTTAAACATACTTGCTTGCGATTTTGCAAAATGTTGAATACAGTTAGCTTTTTATATTAGACAAACTTGACGTTCAGCACTTTAAAGGGCTTGCTCTTTACTACTTAATTTGCAGAACTTGGTAATTGGTAGTATGTCTTGCCATCTGTAGGAAAAATAGTTTAATTTCCACAAAATGTGTATGTATATCTATAAAAAAGCATATAGAAATGAATCTTGTAAGTCTAGACTACATAGCTGAAGTAATTTTTATTTAAAATTTATTGCCTAATGTACCATATGTGGTTGGATAAACCCATTTTTTAGCATTCTTTTGTGTAAATGCATTTGATTAAAATGTTTTGCCTGCTTAATTGGTGTCAGAGACTTGCATTTCAGTATTGTTAACGTGTCTGCAAAAGTTTACTCTGGCCACTTTTTTATGTTTTTCACATTCCTTGTTACTAGTATAATTCAAATTGCATTAATTCTAATATATTTGCAAACATTGCTGCTTTTTTTTTACAATAAGATTTGATACCTTTTAAAAAAGTTAAAATATTATTTCTGCATAAATGTACATGGAGTAGAGAACATTGTTTATAATGTTTGTTAATATAAAGTCTGTGGTCTACGTTGTAAGTAAGAAAATGAGCAAGTGAGGATTCTGTGTATTGAGAATCTAGATTTTGTGAAGACATTTGGCTCAACTTGTAGAGACTTATATTTCATGCTTCAATTGCAATTTAGAGAGAAAGGAAACAGTGATAACTTCTGTCTAAAATCAAGATCATATTTTTATTTCTATGGGCAGTTTTGAAATTTTGCTCAACTAATAATTCATAAAGGAAGACAGACATTTTGACAAATACTTTTTTTTTTTTGTTCCTTACACAGACAAAAGAAGTTGGTTTACTTGATGCAGACATATATGGACCTTCAATTCCAAAGATGATGAACTTAAAAGGAAACCCAGAATTAACACCAAGTAAGTGGAAGTGATTTTTCTTGCTGTCTTCTTTGTATAGGGATGAGTAGGGACCACTCATAGGTGCTTCCTTGGTGTGGCACAGAAGAGATGCAAACCAGAAGATGAAGAGTTAGTGTAGTTTTTTTATTTTTAGTAATGAGGTTGCTTTCAAAGCTAGCTTGTACAACTAGGAACATACTCAGGGTCGTCTTTCTTTTTTGTTTTTTTATGTTGGTCCACAGGCTTTGGGAGTTTCATGGATTATTACTAGAGACACTGGAAAGGGTAGCTAGGAAAGGAAGGTTACTGTCAGTAGTTTTAAACTTGCTATACAGGATCCCACTATAGAAGACCTCCAAATTAAAAAAACAAAAAACACTAGTATAGGAAAAAAAAAAAGACTAATCTAGGAAATAAGAAAAGGATCATTACAGTAGCTTGTATACAGTGTCATTGGAATGATTGTGTTTCATCTCTCTCTCTTCAGCCAAACACGCCAGGCCACTTGATTCATTTTTATTTGAAGTTGTGTGTTTAGGAATGCAGTGGTGGTGACTTCACTACCACAAGGTAAAGACAGTAGACAAAACTCCTAATTTTCCTTTTGCTAGGAAGGATTCTGGTCTGGGGAAAAGTAAATTCAGGTAGGAGACTCTGGAGAGAAATAAGGAAGACCTAAAGTAGAAAGGTTGCATCGAGTCTGTTTACCTTTCAGAAATTTAACTTCCACTCAGGCCAGCCAAGGGTGAAACTGAAGAATGGCTTTATCCTGATACCCTGTTTGCCTGATGCTTGAGTGTAGGGGATTGTGCTTTTTTGGGAGTGGTAGGGACACTGAGGCGATAGGATTTGTTTAATGCTTTGTCTTTGCTATCCTGTGATAAAGTGCATGTAATTCTAAAAATTAAAAACATGTAACCAGAGACAAAAACAGTCCCACACTGTAACACCTGGCCTACACATGAGAAAGTACTAGGATACTACTGAAGAAAGTACAAACTGGCAATACTTGTTGACAGGGAGGGATCAAGGACATGTACCAGTTCAAATAGGACATAAAAGAGCTTCAGTGAAATAATCAACTGTAAATACCCATTAATATTTGTGGGCAGTAATTGCTAGGTAAAAGGGAAGTTAAATATTCCTTCCACTTCCTTTCATGCCATGATCTTTGTTTATTTATCATAGAATCATAGAATAGTTTGGGTTGGAAGGGACCTTTAAAGGTCATCTAGTCCAACCCCCCTGCAACGAGCAGGGACACCTTCAACTAGATGAGGTTGCTCAGAGCCCCATCCAACCTGGCCTTGAATATTTCCAGGGATGGGAAATCTACCACCACTCTGGGCAACCTGTTCTAGTGTTTCACCACCCTCACTGTAAAAAATTTCTTCCTTATATCTAGGCCTAAATCTACCATCTTTTAGTTTAAAACCATTACCCCTTGTCCTATCGCGACAGGCCCTGCTAAAATGTCTGTCACCATCATTCTTATAACCCCCCTTTAAGTTCTGAAAGGCCACAATAAGATCTCCCCGCAGCCTTCTCTTCTCCAGGCTGAACAGCCCCAACTCTCTCAGCCTTTCCTCATAGGAGAGGTGCTCCATTCCTCTACATCTACTCTGCTATTGTTGTAGAAAGTCCATTTGTAACTGATCGTAATTTGTTTGTGTGGGTGTTGTGGTGGTTGTTCACTCTGTACATTCTCACTTGGTATAAAGCATGCAGAATGAAATAGTGCCAGTATCTTTAAAGGGTGGTTATTGAGCTTGCAGCGTTAGCCTCTGAAAAATTAATAAGTGGCAAACTTAGGATTTCTTATATAATTAAAATTCTGTCTCCTTATGCTTATACCCTGTACTCTGGATAAAGAAAAGTGTTGTATTTCCATATATGGATGCGCTGCATGTGCTTATACAGGCAACTGTCAAATTGAGTACTTTCTGCATTTACGTACCTGGCTTACAAATACAGACTTTGTTTAGATTAATTTCTAAGAGAGAAGGAGAGTACTTGGTTTTATTTGTTGGATTTCTGTTTTATTTTTTGATGTCAAAGACTAAATCTGTTGTGTAATAAATAAATAACTGAACCCTCTCATGTATCATCCGTAGAGTATGACCTCCTGATACAAATTAAAGTATTCTTGCATTCTCTTGTACTTTGGACCCTGTTGAGGGTATATATCATACACGCTGTGTTTTACCATAACAGATTTTTTTTGCTATGAATTTTGCATTTGAAGTGCACTACGCAATGTGAACACAAAAGGGACTATGTTGTGGTGGTGTTCATCTCTCTCCTCTTTTCCTTTTTATGTGATGTTGACTTTTTCCTCTCCAAAGCAGATAAGGTAAAAATTTGATTCTCTATTTTTTTTTTTCTCCTCACTGTCTGAAAAATTGATTAGATAACTTTGAACTGCTTATACATTTTGCTATGTATTTCATCAATCCATACCAAATTTAAATCCATGTCATGAGCCATAAATAGGAAGCAAGTTGTCCAGTCTATTTCATGTGGTTATACAAATTAACTTGCTAGGAATGCAAGAACTTAAGAGTATATTCAGTCAGATATTAGGGCAGCTCAATTTTGTTTGTATATAAATTTCAGTGACTGTAGATATTTTGGGTATACAGCTGAGAATTCACTATAGGGTTTTGTCTCAACATGTTTCAAGTGCTGTTAAAAATAGAGTTCAATGTAATAGAAAGAAATGGGAGGATTTCCCTGAATTGAAATTGCTACTGTTGACTTGTAAGCTCTAACGTTTTGATTGCTAAAATGTATTCTTTCTAATTCTGTGTGGAAGGTATAAGCAAATATTATCATCAAGATTTAAGAACATACCTTATTTTTTAACTGATGGAAAATGAATCTGCGTATTTCAAAAGCTTGCACATTACACAAGTCTACTGAGAAACTCATGTAGTAATTCAGTATGAAGGATAACAGGACAGAATTTGTATTTCAGGAATTCTGTTCACTTCTCTGTGCACTTTTAACTCTTGAGTTGATGAAGCTGTAGAGTAACAACAATGAAAGTGCTGGCAAAGTAGCTGATGCTAGGACGATTTTGTTGTGAAAATAGGAATTTGGAGGGTGTAGGAAGCTTTAATTGTGAACTTCAAGGATTCCTTTAATGAGTGACAGATAGGATAAGCTTGCAAGGAAGTGATCCGTCTTAGATGTATATATATGGTGTGTGTATATATAGGTGTATATAGACACGTATAGATATAAAAATATGTATGACCCTTGTATTTTGGTATAATGAGGTTTAGTGTTATTTTCCAATTTCTTACTACATTTTTAAGAATAAAATATAAACTCTAAACAAATATTGTTTTGTACAGTAATTGAGCAAAACCAGGCAGTTCTGTGTTAAAGATGTGCATTAACAGTGTATACGTAACAATAAGTAAGTCAAAAACATTTTTCTTAATAGCATAGCAATCACAAATTATGTTTAAAGTCTATTGCTATCTTCAGTATGAGACCTGGATTTGAAAATGAATCTGTAGAGTAATCCTGGGAAGTTTTGAGCACTTTGCAGTCTTTGACTTCTTTTCTCATATGTAGCAGTTGAAAAGGGATTAGGGATGCCTGGTACCATACAGAATAAATCCATGCAGCAATTATTACTTCTGAATAGAAAGTATTATAGTTATGCTGTAATTTAAGTTTTCAAAATGAATTAGGAGTTCTTAACGAGGAGAGAGTCTGTATAAATGGAAGATACTCCACTAGTTTAACTTCGCAAACTGTAGTACACTGGATTTCTGCTAACATTTAATAGGGTGTCATTCAAAATACTTTAACTAAATGGTCAGGGAAATATTGGTTAATAAGTTCATAACTGAATTTAATTAGCTAATGGAGGATTATCTGACTATGGAATAAATATTAACATCGTCTACAATATATACACAAGGCAACGCTTATAACACAAGTAACAAAAGCATTACTTCTAGTCTTTCCCCAAATAATTGACTCAAAAGCCGTTTTCTGGCTTAGTGAACTGCATAATTTCATTGTTTTCCTTTTTTTTTTTTAAATCTGCCATTTAAACTAGTTGGCAGAGAGTAAAAGCTATTATATTACCAAAAGATATTGCCATTTTGCCAGATAAATATAACCTTTCTTCACTTAATTTAAATGATTATGAAGGCTTTGGTGGGCTTTTTTTTCTTTATGATAGTTGAGTGCTCTCTTAATATTTCCAAGCTTTGTTGCCATTTTATGATATCCTCAGTCTCTTTTTTTATTTCTTAATAAAATAGTATATTCAAAATATCAGTAGTGGGCATCTGTTTTCAAAATTTGCAATAAAAAGTAATTTCTGAGAGAAAGCTAGCAGTAGCTGTGTCTGGCCCCATTGAGTCTAATAATATTGCGGGAGCTATAGAAATGAAATTACTGATAAAATTCTAAAGTCAGAAATTGACACTTGCATTTTTTCGCTTGGACACATTTATGTGTCTGCTACTCTTTAGACTGTGATAGCAGAATCTCCTAACAGAAAGTGATAATTTAAAATAGAATCTGTTGTGACTGTTTAAAGATGTCTGCTGGAAATGGCTGTATCAAGGGATTGTGGTGCATCCATTTGAGGGTTATAAATAGAAAATTTGGAGTGGGCTAGTTAAACAGAGAAAATGTTACATGGGTAGGGTAGTTATTGAGGTAACCAAGAAGAAGTTTCTTGATCTTACATAAGGGTTTAATTTTAAAGATACAGTTTGTACTCTTAAACAAAGTTGTCTTTGTCATGCTCTACCAGTCGAACTGCATCATAATTAATTTAAATAAAAACTAAATTTGATTCTTTCAAAAAAGTCATATTTGCTACTGCCACTACCTCTTGATTTGTGAACAAGTGATTTTTAGATTGTGTGTAGTCTAACGGCATGCTTTAATGATTCTGTTTCGAAAGAAGTCTGAACTGAAACCCTGTGTTTTACTTTTGGTGATGTCTTATCCCAGTTTATCTGGATGGCTGAAGTAGAGTGGTT